AATGCCGCACCATGAAGAGATGCAGGAGGTCCCATGTCATGGAGCATGTTGTTGCATTGTTCATCCCACTGAGACCTTTGTACAAGGATAGATTGGTTTGAAGAAGCCTCCAAACCACTCAGACTATGCAAATGTGTTGAACCACCTCACTAGTTCCACTTCAAAAGCGTATGTGTCTGCTGTTGGCAGGTGGTTGAGGCACATGCTGCAGCAAGCCCTGATCACTGCCCTGATCACATGCAGGTCCCATGTCATGCAGCGCTGTGTTGCTATTGTCTACAGGGCAATCCGTTTCATTATGTTTCTTCCTCTAAACTTGGTGTGCGGATAGAAGACGTTTGTTAGTGGACCAGCAAAATGCGTTCAAAGTTTGCAGGGGTTTGTTCAAACCATTTGTTTGCATGTTGCATGCCTTTTGCAGGCTGAAGTTGCCACACAAACTAAACACAAAGAGGCCGCCCCTCAGATGGTGCCTGTGTGTGTGTGAAACCTGTGAATCTAATGTTTTTCATCAAGGTATCTAGCATAGTTTTGCAGTGCCTCATTCCTTTTTGATTGCTACTACAGCTTGCAAAGGCTGAACATCAAAAAGTCAAGGTGGAACAGGCACTGGCAGTCCTTTGTCATGCGCCTGTAGCACTCACGCTAGACATCTCTTCCACGACCAGTGTTTGTTCTCGTTTTCTGTTTGACCAGGCTGATCCGGCCGGTTTTGATGAAGCAATGCCCGGAGTTGCGGATGTGAAGGCAGTTCTCCATGAGCCACCTGAGGGTTGGTCCTCCCTCCATGGTCTTGCTGATTTCCTGCGCAGGTGCAAAAGCTCGAAGCCTGTAAAGTCCAGGTGAAGCAGGCACTTAATTTTGTGGCTTTCTTTGTAAGAACGCCAACCCGCCAACCCAGATTTCCAGATATCCTGTACTGGTGGTGCGGGTCCTTGTCTGCAGGAAATGTCGGAAGGACGGAAAGCCCTGGAGGAGCTTGGCCAAAAGTTGCGGGAACAGGCTCCGACTAGCTTCTGTACAGGTCCTAGGTCCTATGTCATGGTCAGTCCTTCCTTTATTTCTTGTGATAGGCAAAGAAGCGCAGTACAGATGACGGCCTTGGCTACTTCAACAACCAGCCCTACCCGGCAAAATGGCCTCGAAACCGCCAGCGGTCACCTTCTTTAATGGACCCTTCCAAGCGGCAAAACCTTGTTTCAGCTTTTCAGTGGCCAAGAGTGCTTCGCGAGGAGATTGAATCACACCTAGATGGTCTCAAAGGTGAAGTGCAGCCAATTGCAGCCTCACCCCGTCTTCTCAGGGTGACCTCTCACTGGTCAGGAGTGTGTACACAATCACGAAGTGCAGTGGTGCTCCAGAACAACCAAGTTGTGAAGTGCAAATTTGAGCATGTGCAAGACTCAGGTGTTGTTGCAAATGCAGGCGGTTTTCATATTAGGCTGAAGTCAACTCTGTGAATCCCATGTCATCTATATTTAGGGGTTGGATGGTGGTTGGGTGGATAGATTGGGTAATACATACAGCCACTAATGGAAAATGATGCAGCCACATCTAGACCTCTGCGTGTAAGACCAAGGTTGCCTTCACAGAGAAAGTGTGGCATGCACAAAAGACTTTGGCGCGGGACTTTCCTACATCATGTGTTTACACCGATGCCATTCACGTGCTTCCAGCGCATCTGCGGGAGGTAGCTGTCAATACTCTTGAACCCGGCTTTATTTGGGAGACAGGAGCACAGTGCGCGCAACATGGGAGGCGCTGTGAATTTCCAGAAAACATTGACCTGGCTGTATTTGGCGCTCCTTGTGTGGATGACAGCTCCATGGGGGCCAAAAAGATGGATTCGGGGGAGGCTAGAAGAGTAGCATGCCTGCATGTGTGTAGAATCCATTCATGAGTCTGAGGACCACTTGTGTAAACTCGATTGAAGTTGTCAGGGTCATCATTGTGTATAGTAATCAAACCTGCTGGGTGAGTACATCCCTTGTCATGCGGTCTGAGGTAACGCTTGTGCACTTGAATTGGATGAAGAGCCAACGTGTAAAGATTATGATATCCGAGAATGTTACCACTGGAAACATCGGACTGCGGATTTGCCAACATCTGTCGGACGAAATGGAGTGCAGGGAGTCTCAGCTCTAGCAGTATGTTTAAAGAGATATTGTTAGCTTTCCTTTTGCATGTCTTCTTCCTCTCCTCATTCCTTTCCTTTCTTCCTTCTTTAGATCTGCGGACCTTTCTTTGTCCTTTCCCTTTCTAGTTTGATCTTTCTCCTATAGTTGTATTGACCCCCCCCAAACCAGACACATACCTTCATGACATAGGACCACACTCTACTCCAGAATCTAGACAGCCAAGGTAGTGTTCACAGACCCGGGGGATGTTGGCTTTGGATCGATTTCCCGCAGAAGGGCATTCTGCATTTTCTTGCGCAAGGATGCGGGCACATTCATACATGAGCCGCAAGCATTGTATGACAAATGCTGTTCACGCTTAGCTTCGAGACAGGTTCATTTGGACGATCTGTGCTGGGCAAGTGAACAACAAGTCCATGAAGAAATAAAGAATTTGATCTCAGGCACCTCAAGATCACGGGAGCAAGTCTTAACAAAGTTTGAGCAGGACAACCAAAAGTTGTACGAGAAGACCATGGATGCTCGAGGTATTCCCGCCGACCAGCAAGTGTATGTGCCAAGTCAAAACCCAGAGTTTTTGTCCAAAATGACTTCTGCTGGGGTGCTTCCGGCCTTTACATGCACGGACAAGATCGTGTGGATCCGAAAACTGGACAGACCCCTTTGTGCCATTGAAAAGTTCAGTGGTCACGGATACCCGATGACCCCGGAACTTGCTCAGTGCCTTTCTGTTCCTGTACCTTGTCGGTCATTTTGTGAGCGGCAGGTCCCATGTCATGCCTCCTCTGAGTAGAATAGTGCAGTATATATATATATATAGCAGAGTATAGTATGTGTCTGTCACTCGATTCTCTGAGGTATTCGATCCTTCGATTCTCTCGAGGCCGCATGTTGCCGTGGGGAATGGACAGCATATGGCGTGCGCTGGTGTCGCCATAGCTGTGGCGCTGGCTTGCATTCAGCTCCATGACATGGGACCAGTACCGGTACCTGAGCCTATTGGCCCACGTGTTGACCCACCTCCAGCACCTGAGCCTGTTGGCCCACCTGTTCACCCACCTCCAGAGAATGTCCTTCCAGTTGCAGCAAATGGCCGATGCTTTTTTTCCAGCATGTTTCTTTCTCAGGCGTCTGAGTACATACGCCACCAGTGGTCACAAATTCCTCGAAATGAAACTGGGTTTGCACTTGACCCTCAACGCTTGGAGTGGGAGGACGGCTTATGAAATGATGTGTCCAGTACACTTTGGACATCATCGATGGTCTAGTCTGTTGTTTTTGTGCTTTTGTTGGTCATTTGGGTGTGTCATGATATGTTCTTTCTAAAATCAAAGTGTTGGAGTAGCATTGTGACAGTATTCCTTTTAATTTTTGTTTTTTGATGACATGAGACTTGTAGCAGGACAAAGCAGTCAGCAAGTGGTTCACTGAATGGTGTGCACTCAACAAGGGCGCAGATGCCAAGTTTGCGGAGAAGGTCATGACAGCATTTGCAGCTTACGCCGTACCAGGACTGGACTTCATGGCCTTATGATGGTTTATCTGTATTTCTGTATGTTTTTATTTGTTTGTTTAAATCAAAGTTGTGCCGTTGTATGTTTTTTTTGGTCCAGGTGAAGAAATCATCGAGTGGGTGGTGAACAAACTGGGTGTCAAAGTTTGTATGCTTGGATCTAGTATGGAACCACTGCAATATTTTGGAGATGGCCCGGTGGTGCAGCTTCTTTGCCAAGGACAGGGTGCAGTCAGGGTTGCAACCCTGCAAAAATAATCAAACATAGTTGTTGTCCACAGGATGACATAGGACCTAGGACCTATGACCTGATGAGAGTCGATTTATGAGTTTCTTGCCCTTCAGGTTCCCGCGATGGAGCCGGTGTGCTTCAGTCACACTTTTGCTATGTGTGGCAGAAGACAGGAGGCCCTATATCCAAACATCTTATGACACCTTCGGAGGCG